GATGGAGGATAATCTCTGATCCATTTTTATCATTAGTTTTGGAAGGTTTTGGTCAGGACTTTTAACAGTGGCTTGAACGCAGAAGTAATTATTCATAATTGTTACGATATCATCAAAATTATCGTATACTAAATTCCCATGTTTAATTGGAGGAAATATTGTATTATTCCCGGTGCATTTCAAGTAGTTTTTGACTAAGCGCTAACAATGCTTACTACCGTACGAGTCGTTTATCTTTCTATCGAATTTAGAGACATAATTTTTCTTTGCTGAGCCCACAGCTGCTACAACTTTATTTCTGAGTTTACGAAAGTTAGCCCAGTCGGACGGTCGGTTGCGTCGTTTAGCGATTTTGTGTACACGGTTACGTTTTCGTATCAAACTACGCACTTCGCCAGACATCCATAACGGATCATTGGGTCTAACAGTAATTGTTTTGTTAGGGATATCTTTAGCACAAACCTCTAAGAAAGACAAAGAGAACGAGTTTGCTGCTTCATCAATTGTGTCAGATGACAAAATATCTTGCCAAGGAATTGAAGTTAGGTTTTCAAAAAGGTTGTCTTTATCAATCTTGTTGTAATTATAAATTGTCCTTTTATAATTATAAAGTCCTTCCTTAATACTTTTAAAGGTCACATGCAACGCAAAACACAACTTTGTAGATTCTGAAACCTTTCGGTATGGGCTTACAGTAACAATTCCTCAAAAATGTGCACATTCAACTCATAAAGTTGAAAAAACAACGCGATGAAAGAAAAACGCGAAATCGGAGTTCAAACGATTCACTAATTTCACCTCAGTGCTGGGGTGAAAAGTGGTTTCAGCAGCTGTGATGCGCTGTGCCCATAGCGCATGCGCAGTGATTAGATTCGTGCGGCTTGAACCGGGAAGGCGACTCGTAAAAACACAGCAAGTGTGAGTGAGTGAGTTAAGATTTAAAGTCACATCGGCAATATTTCAGCCATATCGTGACTACACAGCAAGTGGTGCGTGCAAGGATTATCGCCGTGGTCGAAGTTGGAGAACAAGAGATGTTTCTTGCGATTACAAGCATCTTTGGTCTGCAGTATTAAAACTACACTGGTCCCATACTTGGTTGCAGATACCAAGTTTGCAAGAAAGTGTAGCATTAGAAATACTAATTTCATTGTTAGAAATTGCTCAGCTTGAAAACGGAAATGTTTTAATATATACTACCCATCAAAAGTTTAGACTCACTAGTGTAAATGTAGCCACTTACTTGTCCACTGTTCTAAACTAGCTTTTTGCAAAATATTCCATACTGTTTCAAGGTACTGTTTAGTTATGAACTGGTGTATTGTAAAACATATTCGTAACATTGAAAAGATTATTGTCATGAGTTCAGTAAATGATTAAAATCTGTGAAAATTGGCGAATTCTTAACAAAACTTTACACCAAAACGCATCTGTTCACATGCACGACATTTGCTCATGCCTTTCGCAATTTGAAGCATCATCCTTGTGCAATTCATCTGCATAAGGTTTTCAGTTGGTTCCCCCAAGTTGGAGAAATTCATCTTCGATGTAACCACATACATATACATAACATATAGTGAGTGCTTTAAGTGAGTCTAAACTTTTGATGGGTAGTATATATGTCTATGAAAACATAGAAAAATATGTGGATTGTGATAAGCAGTCTCTGTCACAGACAAAACTCAATGTCTGTTTTATTGACACCTGTGTCTGGCTGCCTGTCTGCTAATGACAATATGCAATACACAACTTCAATCACTGACCACATGCAATTTGAACTTAACACCTATCAGGCTATACACCATAAACAAATACATTGATTTATGGCTCGTGTATCTGAGTTCTGTCTCTGTCACATTACGTAATTACACAGACAGACAGGCGTGATACTTGTACACATGACATCTTATGTCTGTTGATTGCAAACAGCGTCCATTTTTCTCGGATGATTGGATCGGACGGAAACCGGTGCAAACTCAAATTGTCAGTTTTAAGTCCTGCTTTGTACTTGGACGAACCACAGTTTCCAGCCACGCAGTTGTTCACCATCTCAGTATTTGTTGATTGGATCGAACGCAAATGCAGAGAGCATGTATTTACAAAACCCAACATCTCTATATAGTCTTTATGGATAACAACTTCTTCTATTGTATATGGTGCAGCGTTTCGGTATGGTTTCTTATGCCGTTGTCACCGGAAATGAATCCATACCGAAACATCGCATCATATACAATAAAAGAAATTGTTATCCATAAAGAATCTTACTTTCTTATTACTCACCATACTTCTAAAAGTCCAATCAAACAGATCATCTCTATATACACGCAATGAGACGTGGGCGTATCGGCAAATGAACTAGCCAATGAAAGACTGCGTTACACTTGAGTGCACACCCACCCGCTCCGACTGGGTTCGCTCTCCCGGGTGCTTCGTTTCGAGCGATATAAACCCAAGTACAAAAGATTGCACTTTTGATTCCCGATTGTACGTTTATAATTTTGTTTATTTGTTTGTTTCACAATCAGCAATGTATATTATATGACATGAATAAGTGATAATTGTGTTTTAAGTATGTTTGTTCTTTTTGGTTGCATGTGACTTTTACAATTTATGGTTAATCCTACGGCTTTTGTGGAGCTTTGGAATACAGTGCAAAATAAAGAATGGACATAACTTCCAAGTTGATAGTACCGATGAATGCTTTGGTCAGATTTATTTATCAGCTAACATACTGGCCTTACATGTATTGTTTGATATACCATTCATACAAAGTTCTTTCATAAAACCATTAATGTAGTGATGTTTACATATATAATGGTTATATTATTTATGGCTTCTTCAGTGGGAACGAGTTCAAAACTACTTCATGCATATTTTGGAACAGAATGGGTTAATTCCATTTCTGTTTCTTCTTTTTCAGTTTGTGCATTTTCCGATTCCGAGCAACACTATCTACTCACAATTTGCCGAATGTATTACTTCTTTCTGTCAGATGGCTTAATGAGCTGACATACATACAATTCTGAGCATTTTCACGTGTATTCCGGGGATTTTCTTACTTTGCCGGTATTGTACGGAAGTTCAAATCCACAGACGGGACAAAAAAAAGCGATTTGTGGATGTCAACTTCTTTATTGTGAATAAGACGACGTTTCAGAGTGTATGCTTGCTCCTTCATCAATTTGCCGATTTGTCTTTTCTTAGCATAGCATCCACTTCTAAATGCCCCTTCAAAGATTCCGCAGAGCGAGGTGAGGTAAAATCTTCCATGACGTTTGAGAAATCTCATTAGTTTTTATCGCTGGTAGAGATCTGACACTTTCGAATCTCTTTTGATGGAAACATCGACATCACCATGCCTCCAACAAGAAGAAGGGTAGATATCGTTGGAAATCCAGTCCAAGATGAAGCCTTAGTTGCTGAGCCTTCTGTGCCTGAAGAGAGAGCTGTGTCCCCTGGACCTTCAGAAGCCTCTGTCGAACATAGATCCATTTTTGGGAGGCTTTCTGATGGCAACATGTTTCCCATCCAGGACAATTCAAGTATGTGGGACATCCTAGCGTTTCAGGAACTCCTCAGCAACGTCTTCCCAAGGGGCTCTGTCAACAGGGCACTCAATGAGTTCTTTCTGAGATCCATCACCAAAGCATTGCAGACATCTTTCGCCAAAAAGCAGATAGTGTTTCTGGCTACCCGGAGTTCATATTGCGAGGTGGCATAGGAATCTCCTGATGCAAGATGACCCCGAGTAATGGTGAGTTTTACTCTTAGGAACCAACCCAGAATTCGCAGGATCTTGGTGCTGCTTTGCAGAAACAATGGCGCCGATTACCCAATAATGGTTTTGTCTTTTTGACTTGCCACTTTGTTTACGCCAATATTTCCAGCAATATCAAACCGGCGGGGAATATTCAGAAATGGGACTTAACATATTGTGTCCCCATGTATACATGTATTATCGAACCCGTGAAGTTTCTAGTTTGACTCATTTTATACCCAACCATCTAGTAAGAACTTGCACTTGAGAACTACATGAGAACTACATAAACGTACTAACTAGTAGAATGTAGTGAGAATCCATTGCAAACTTTTAGAACCGTGTAGAAACGTACTACCACGAACTCCTTCAGAACAATTCGTTTTGTTTTGAACATGTTTGCACGGAATAGCAACTAAGCACGAAATGCGGTCGAGTTTAGTCTGTTAACGAACGGGATGGACATGGCGGAAACTGTGTACATACATATTGCAAATGACGCCCGACTGCACTACATCCGCTGAATTGGTCTTCGGTAACCCATGTTTGTCGTAAGAGGCAACCAACAGGATCGTGTCTTCAGGCTCACAGACTTGGTTGACTCATGTCATCCCATCCCAACTAAGCAGATCGATGCTCATGATGTTGATCACTGGATTGTGTGGTCCAGACTTGATTAAGTACCTACTGAAGTCATATAGCTGAAATATTGCTGAGTGCAGCGTTAAACAATAAACCAACAAACAACATTTAACCTCTTTAATATTGACACAGAGTGTAGTCTTGTTCTCACTTTGCACAGTCCCAATCATTCCTGCAGAAGAGACAACAAATCTTCAAAATGAATGGTGTTGTTTGCCATTCATCCTTTCTTGTGACCATGGCTGCCTCGACCAATTTTGGAGACTCAATACATAAGCACTGGCAGTTCTCTGATTAGAAAGACCGCCATAATCTCTTATTTGTAATTAAATGCATATGAAATTGCTGTACATTACAATGATTTCCTCTTTAATTTGTGTAAGTTCGACTGCATGCAAAGCTAACTAAACTGGTGGTATTTATTTTTCTAATATCCTAAGCATCCTGGGTACATAAACATACTTATCACTTTATAACACAGAACACATATTCTCTTTCAAACTCAATTATACTGAATAATTTTCATAAAGATACGTTCAAACAGCATTGTTTAAGTTTGAATTCCTCATGATCATGTGTTTAGGATACTTCATTGAAACTTTATAAGCGTTACCTGAATTTGCAGCATACATCTAATCACTGTCTTATTGGTTCAGATTTGGTCCAGAGCCTTCCTCCCCAATGATCATGTCACCAGTTTGTTTTTATCGTAAATTGGGGCGGTTGGGTAGCCTTTTGGTTAAAGCGTTCACTCATCATTGACCCAGGTTCGATTCCCCACATGGGTACAATGCATGAAGCCCATGTCTGGTGTCTTCGCCATGCTATTGCTGCAATATTGCAAAAAGCGGCATAAAACCATACTTACTTATTGTCAATTTCTGTATAGGTATTAATTTAGCTTTACAACCAAGTCACAGTCATTTGTTGATGAAGTATCCCTGTGACAGGACATTGCATTAAACATTGCATTGAAAAGGAAAGAAGAAATCTTTCAGTTCTCAAAAGCTGGTGTCTCACCGATTTGTCCAAACATGACATGCGTAGGCATCATAACTATTGAAATGGTATCACCTGTGAGACTCATCTGTTGGCAAATCACAACACACATCACATCAGTCAGCATATTATGACCCACATCGTAACTGTTGATGCTTCAGGTGTTCAACTTATCTGTCAGAACATCATGAGCTACATCATAACTGTCGACAATTCAGCAGGTGTCCATCTGTCAATTCATTATGACACAACTGTTAACACCTCATCTGGTGTCAGACTCATCTGTCGTAACTTCATGACACACATCGCAAGTGTCTACACACATCACTGTCAGCAAGCCCAAGTATTTCTCAATGTTCTGGTCAGGATCCATCCAGAAATGCTTTTATGTTGGTGGCACTTGCCTTTCCCACTATGGACGACAGATCCTATTGCAAGACAAACTTGAGTCAAACACTGTGTGAGGACACTGTCAAGCAGCTTGAGTAACATGTAACTGTAAATGACACTGGCCTAACATGTATTATATACATGGGTATTCCCATCCAGAAATGGACAGAGGTGAGTATCACAGTATTCAAATTATCTTTCAGTGTAACTGCCATCCTAATATACCAAGGATGGCAACAGGAAAATCTATTTTCAGTGGAAAATTTAATATTGTGTCATCGAATGGGATGTGGTGGTGGGAGCTGATTTTGAAAAAATATCAGCAGAAATCTGCCAATGGGCAGAAAATTGCCATCCCTGATATACTGACATCAGTGTCACTGCTTTGAAATGTAAATGTAAACCGTCCTAAATGAGAGGTCAGTCAACCTGTCTTGTGTGTGTCTACGCAGGCACACAAACACATCTATATTTTTATATCAGGTGTGGAAATAACTTTAAAACTGTTAGTGTACTTCGGTACAGTGGCACATGTAAAATCACTTGCCCTGATAATCTTTCCACTATACCAGCTGTTTTCTTGTTGATTTTTTACATAAAGAACATAATTAACATTGGAAAGTCAACTGGACACCGGTACAGTGTGATATACAAATTTGCTTGCCCGACAGAAATAAACACTGGACTCGGGCATCGGGCAATGGGTGATTTCCACCCCTGTATATGTACACAGATACAATAGTATTACCCGGTAATAAAGCACCACCTGAGCAAGTATTTTTGTCCAAACAGATGATCATATCCTAGCATAACAAAATAAACATGCAAAACATGTGCTTCATCAAAAAACTGTGTATAAAGTTCACATGCGGCAAAGGTAACAAACATGTCAGAACTTCAATTTCTAAATTGCAGTATGTGCACTTCAGCTTTCTGAACTGATCTAGCTAAAAGAAAACAGTTCTAAAACTTAACATTTCTTCACAAGGCAATACACAGATTGTCAGAAAATACACAATTGCCAGGTATTGGCAAGCATGACATAGGGATGCCCTGTCACTGTTGCTAATAAAAACATATAACACGTGGTGAGGAGGCACGTGGTCACTGGGAAAATAAAGGTCTTGTCCAACAAATGGAATGAGTAAGTGAGTGAGTTTAGCTTTACACCTCTTTTAGTAATATTCCAGCAATATCACAGCAGGGACACCGGAAATGGGATTCACATATAGTACACAAGTGGGGAATCAAACCTGGGTCTTCGTCGTGAATAGCAAACGCCTTAACCACTAGACTACCCCACCACCCTCCAAGACCTGCAAGATCACGGAGGGCCAATGACCAATGACCATTTATGACCAAGTCCTAATTCAAAAACGCAATCTAATGATCCATGCTGAAGAACTATGCCAGCAATGGACAATAAAATATGTTACAATTACCATTTTAATACAACATGTAATGTTTCTGTATTTATCATGGGATAAACAGTTGGTGGTGCTTGATTAATGCTCATGTGTATTCAGTGTCACTGCCTTGAAATGTACATATATCAGTGTCACTGTCTCTATACAGTTGAACATCTGACACAGAGTCACAGATTCACCAGCTTGTTGCCGATGTGTACACAGTTATCTGCTCAGACCCCTAACATCTGGGGTGCAGCAATCACAGTGGTCTGTCAGGGCGGTGGGGTATCCTCATGGTTAGAAGCGTTCGCTCATCACGCCGAAGACCCTGGTTCGATTCCCCTCATGGGTACAATGTGTGAAGCCCATTTCTGGTGTTCCTCGCCATGATATTGCTGGAATATTGCTAAAAGCGATGTAAAACTAAAACTCTCTCACTCACGGTGGTCTGTCAGCAGTGTGTACAGTGAGTTGAAAGTGAAAGTTTGGATGTGAGGACATTATTGTTATTTTGAACTGTGTGAGTGGTCAGAGGAGATTTTCTGCTTAATTTGGGTACTTGGGACTTCCAAAAGGGTTCAAGAAAACCAGGAATTCTATGTTCCAAGTCCAACACAATGACGGCATTTATTGCTGGCATGCTTGGTCACAGTCTAACAAAGTATGAACATACTCACTTCCAAAGATGCTCTTGCTATAGCCTGTAAACCTGTTTAATGAAAACGGTAACGATGATGACATAGAGAATCGATATTGTAACGCCTCATTTATGACGGATGTTACATTTAGGTGACATCTAGTAAACATTATACCACTTACAAGGAGAGAAAATGATAGCAAAATCAAGTATACAATGACACATACACAGCATTTGAAATAGCTACTGGCCCACTAGCCAAGTGCTAGCTGATTGTGAATTGGGCCAGTAACATAATGTTAAAGCTACCCTGACTAGATAGCTGAAAATCAGAGATAATTTGAATTGGCATTTGTTTATATAGAGAATCTCACCCAAGTGTCTTCTGATATCAATTATATCAACACGAGTTGATAAAGTTACAAATATCCGAGGCTTGCCAAGGATATTTTAACGAGTGTTGATATATTTGATATCAGAAGATTCACACATTGAGGGTGAGATTCTATTTTCATCCAATCACTCTTCATTAATTTTCAATGAAAAATGTAACATCTTGTCAACATTGGTACTGCCATTAAATGCAGTTCAAGTTTAAATAATAGCATCACTATGTTGATCATCAAGTACCATGACATCATAGCATTGTCAGGGCATTAAAGCTACAATAATGTCACCTCCTGACTGTATGATCTGAAAATCTCAGATAAACACAATTGGCATTTGTTTATAAGCTTATCTTTTGCACAAGAGGTGAGCTGCACATTAGAGCAGTGTTTCCATTTCACTAAATGGAGGAGTGAGTGAGTTGGGTTTTACGCCACTGTTAGCAATATTCCAGCAATATCACAGTGGGGGACACCAGAAATGGGCTTCACACATTGTACCCACGTGAGGAATTGAACCAGGGTCTTCAGTGTGATGAGCGAACACTTTAACCGCTAGGCTACCCAACTGCCCCAACAACTAAATGGAACAGGTTGTCAAGATTGGTGACAGGATGATGGAAAGTGGTCATATTCCAAGTTTAAAGCCGAAGTCAATCACTATATTGGCTGGTTCACATTCCATTACAGACCATCGTCATTTAACAGAATGTTGGTGCTTAACAACAAACTACAATAATGTCGTTAATGCGAATATCTCTGTGCCTGTGAATGTATGATCTCTCACAAAATCTGCAGAAGCATGTGAACAGAACTTGCCACAGACTGATTCATTCGATTGCCAGGGCCATCTTGAGACTTGGTTGGAGTGTTCAGTAACATACCACCGCCTTAATCAGCCTTAGTCAGCAAGGGTACCTTGACTTGTGAGTGAGTGAGTTTAGTTTTATGCCGCTTTTTAGCAATATTCCAGCAATATCACAGCTGGGGACACCAGAAATGGGCTTCACACATTGTACCCACGTGGGGAATCAAACCCAAGTCTTCGGCGTGACAAGCAAACACTTTAACCACTAGGCTTTCCCACCGTGCCTGACTTGTGTCTTAATCAGCAAGTGCTGCACATTGTAAACATTTACCTAATTTGAAACATACAAGCACAGGTAAAACGTTTTAGTTTTGTCCAGGGATCAGAAGGTAGTAGACAGAGAAAAGAGATTCAAGGTCAACTGCCATGATCTAAGGGCATAATAAAGTATAAAGGTTAAATGAATGCTCAAGCAGCTGAGGTAAAAGGGGAGATAAGATCAGGACAATTGGAGATTCATTTCAATCAAAACCTACTTTGTCGGCTAACCCAGTTCTATTCTGTATACCACATTCAAAGCGGTTACAGAGGAAGGTCTTCACATACAGCTCTCATCACGTGTAGCTCTAGCTAGGCTCTGAACAGTGCGCCTGACCTACCCTTACATACACTCTCTTTGATCCTGATGAGCCAACAAGCATCGCTTTTACGGGCATGCAAATGTGCATCCAGTACACACAAATGTAGAGCATGGACACAGAAACCATTTCACTGCGTCCAGAAGGATGCACAATATTATTCACTGTACCCGCAACACATCTATGACTTTGCTAAGTGTTTGACTGTTTCTTTCTGAGCAGTTACGTGCACCATTTCACCCCTCTGACCACATGATCAAAGATTCATTCCAAGCTCTCAAGAAATTATCAAAACATACACTTCTCTCGAAATGCCAGCAAGGACCCTTGAAACTAATAATTAGGGGTTCCCGAGCCCCCATGTTTGTGAGTCAAGGTAAAATGCTGCAACAAGGAGTGTGACTCGTGACTTACTCCCGAAGTGAAGCAGCAGCTGTTTGGCCTTCACCCCTCCCAGTCTGGGGATGCACTGTAGGCTGCTGAGGAGAGCCACATCCACAGACACAGGTCTGGGCTTCTTAAAGAATGGGTTTGCCTCGGGCTTACTCTCAACATCAACCTGGAAAAATAACAATCTCAATTGAGTTGAGTTGAAGCTAGTTGAGGTTTGACTTAGTAAATAGGAATCATGGATACAAACTTGCCCAAGTACCAAGACTCATACAGTACATAAGCTCAACGTGAAACTGCATCCTCTGCTAAAATGCATCCTCTACTAAGCTGAGAATAGATGCAAATAATTTAAACTGTTCCATGGGGTCTTACAAAATATGTCTGGTAGAAATAGATGTTTGAAGTTCAGTACCCACTGTTTCAAATAAAGAAAATGTCATCCCAGATATGATGGCACTTACTTAGAGTTTAGTTAGAGTGGTATCCCTTTAGGCCCTAGTTTCATGCTAAGGTCCACATAAATAATGCCCAGGCACATATGTGATGCTGTCTTTGTATGTCCATTCTATGACCATGTTATTGTTACACCTAGTCAGATCTTTTACACCAATGTTATACCTCCTGGAGGTATGGAGATGTGGTGCATCCACTGTGGGTCGCGGCAGGTGAACTGATCAACCAAACAGTGTCAAGGCTTCTAAATTCTATTTACAAGTTAGTGGACAAGTTAGAGAAACATATCTGATTGAGATATGATTAAAATATTTAGGACCCTGAGTGCAAAATAATATGGCCAGTCAATAAAATTATTCATATTTCCCACATCCTGTTACATCTGAAGTCCAAAGCATCTACAGCCAAACAGGTGTTCTGTTATAGGTGTGTTTGTGTTGCATTTCTTCTGTTAAGGTCAAAAGGAGCTAAAGAAATACTGATTCATTGTAGTTGATGACATCTCAGTAGCTTATCAGACCTATTAGGCTTGGCACTAAACATGCAAAAAGTAACTCAGGATTCATCTGACACAACCTACTATGGAGATATATTGGGGGTAAATTAGCTGTGATTTTTTCGTCCAGAAATACATGCACACACACGCATGCACATCTGCTCACACGCATTTCATTTCCTCCTCTCAACCCTCATATTAGTATATTAGTTAAACGTATCGTCAAATTTCATCTTACCATCTGGGCGAGAAGTCCAGCTGCCTCTTTCTGATTGTTGACAGGAAGTAACACAAAGCCTATCTCCAGCATAACAAACTTCTGCAGGTCTTGGTAGTACTGACCACTTGTGGCTGTTTTCTCTGCCATAACCACTCCCCGTACTTTGTTGGCCTGTTGAAGACAGCATGCCTATTACTTTAGTACTGTCTCTAGTGGTGATATTATCTTTAATAAGTTACTTAACTAACATTTTGATACCAAATCAATGGAGGTGGAGGTTAAAAATATCCAAATCAGCAGAGTTGTTATGAAAGTATTCATCTTCGCATATAGATAGTCTGAATTGCCATGGTAGTTTCAGGACCCATCAGTTTGGAAATGGTAAAGAATTCATTGTCCAATAAACGATATTGTCATAATATAAATATTTGTAAAACAATATTTTCTGTCATACTTTTTTGACATTGAAATACCAGTTATCTCTACAAAGCTATAAAATTAGTTAGAAGGTATATACAGAAATTCCTAATACCTTTTCAAGTGGTCTAATGTAGTGAGTGAGTGAGTTTAGTTTTACGCCGCACTCAGCAATATTCCAGCAATATGGCGGCGGTCTGTACATAATCGAGTCTGGACCAGACAATCCAGTGATCAACAGCATGAGCATCGATCTGCGCAATTGGGAACCGATGACATTTGTCAACCAAGTCAGCGAAACTGACCACCCGATCCCGTTAGTCGCCTCTTACGACAAGATAGTCGCCTTGTTATGGCAAGCACATGGGTTGCTGAAGACCTATTCTACCCCGGATCTTCATGGTCTAATGTAACACAATTTATTTGGGATTACACTTTCTCAGTAAAGAACCGTAGTCGTTTAGGTGATTTGACCTCACACACCCTAAGTTGGGCACCTAAATGCCAGCACATAAAGTAATTTTAAGATATCATTCAGTACTCTGCACTGTGTGTGGTTCATAAAAATTAATTCCATTATTCATGACTAGCAAGGCAAACAAGCAGTACTCGTTTATATATGTTCAACCCTCTCTATTCAAATACATTCATTTCATTTGCGTATACATGAGACAAATGTAACATTGATGCATCATAAGCTATTTCATTAATTCAATACATGTACGCAGTAATACATGGTAGGTGGCCATCAACAAGACATCATCAAGAGACAATAATCCCATACAAAATATGAGTGAAAAACAACGGAATCCCAACCAGAGTAAAATAGCTTCACCAAGAGAAATCAGCAAATGAAATCTTTGTCAGTGAACTAATGCATAGTCCAATTAAACCTATACTTCTGCCACTGCTCTTTTGAAATTGCTACCATTGAGACATGTTGAAGGTGAAATCTACAGCAAAGTAAAATATTTTCCCTAATTCCATCATATTTGGGCATGTAGAAAGAAAACCAAGGTATTTCCATAAATGTGGCCACAAGAACAAGTTGTTTAATAGGAAATAAACCTTTCAGATGTGTTTGTTTCTTTGATTTTCAGCTGCACATAGCAATATTCAAGATATATACTGAACAACAAAAGAAAGATCGCCTTTCAAAATAAAATGCAAAATTTTGTTCTTCCAAGGTGGTGTTTTTATTAGGCAAAAAATATGTCCGTTTCCGGTAACCCGACCAACCCTATCCAAACTCCCCGACCCTAAATCTTTTTTTAACCAAGTCAATATCATGACTGGGGTGCAATTCAACTGATCATTTTCATCCAAATCGAGTATGATATTTTCATCTTTTTCAGTGAACGTAGGGCTAAAATGGATTGAATTGAATTGGCATAATGGGTCCTCACTGATCAAATCTGCAAATAAATAACATAAATAATAGAAATCTTTCAATGTTTCATCATAAGGCATTGTCACTACATGATATGGTACTCTTGCAGACCTCAGGTGCCCACCTGGTGCCACTGAGAAATAAAAAAAAAAATGTATAAAAAAGATCAAACCGACCCACCTACCCTATTTTTAAAAAGCATGTAATAGGAAACGGACATATATCTTTTTTTTTTCGCCTTATGATTGTACCGTTTTGTTAACATGTTTTTCAATCAAAATTGACAGTTATCGCCAACACAAGTGTGTTTTCTGATGAAAAGGCATATCGACCAAACACACCGAAAAAGGCTGACATGGTAAAAGGTTCCATATGACATTCATGAAAATGAAAATTCATGTGCAACTTTAGCAATCAAAGGGGGTCCCAAACTCGCTTGAAATCATTTTTATTTTTCCACAATCACCATGCCACAACTTACGAGAGATCAGAGGAACCAAGCCTTAGGACCATTTCAAGTTGGACAGACTGCACGGAGGGTAGCCAATCATTTTAATGTTCATCTTAGGACCATCTACCGACTGCAGGAGTGGTATCAGGTCACTAACAGCATCCACGGGCGACCTTCAGTAACATCACAACGTCAAGACCACTGGAACTCACAACAGACCCATCAGTGCCAATACAGCATGTCGACGTTTGCGTGAACAAAATCTCTGCTGTCTCAGACCATATCATAGTCCTGTCCTCACCGCTCATCACCGCCAAAACTGACAGAAATGGGCAATCAGCATCAAAATTGGGGTTATCGACAATGGAGAACTGTGCTTTTATCTCATGAAAGCCAATATTGTGTTCCAACAGTCCATGGCAGAGTGAGAGTATGGTGCAGGCATGGTATTGTTGAAATAGACATGTGGTTTGGTCCAAGCATCATGGTGTGGGTTGCAATCGGTCTGAACCAGTTAGTTGACAAGGTGGTGTTCCAGAATCTTGGTCCGGGATAAGGAAATGACGTGATAACTGCTCGCTATATTGACCAAGTCATTAGACCCCATGTTGTACCACATTTTGGACGTTACAGAAATCACATCTTCCAGCAAGACAACGCTCGTGCCCACACTACCAGAGCAACTGGACTTCCTGAGACAACATGGCATCCAAACCCTACAATAGCCTGCACTCAGTCTGGATTGAAATCCAATAGAACACCTTTGGGACGAGATTCAAAGAAGACTGAATGACCTCCAACCAAGGCCGACAACTACGACTGGACTCGTTCAGGCATTTCGCAGAATATGGACCCAAGTTCCTATGGCCTTCATCAACCGGCTAATTCATTCCATGTACAAACGATGCAACAATTTCATTGATACCTATGGAGGCCATACACAATACTGACTTTGGGGTATCTTAATGGTACCATTTTGGGTGATTTTGTTTGTGTGGACTCTAAAAGTGATTCCCGAAAATGTGTTAACCATAATTGTCAAGTTTGAACTCAATCCTCCGTTTTGATTGTTAATTAGAGTGAATTAAAGTGTGTGCTTTATGAAACCGCTGTCTGTGCAACATTTCTTTTGTGGTTCAGTAAATAAACAGCCTCTACAAATAATCATGTCAAGAACAGACAATCCAGTGATCATCTTCACATACGTTGCTCTGTGATACAATGACTTGCCTAGCCACCCAATCCTGTTAGTCACCTCTTATGACAAACATGGGTTGCTGAAGACCTCATCTAATATAGATCTAATACACCAAGCCTGAGAATACTATGTACTATTTAACCAAAACTAGAGATCACAATTTTATAGTCAATATTTAAGGTACGGTAGTGGTTTTCATTATATTTAATAAACTTCTAATCACTTTACAGTATTAGCACTGATTAATGACTCTCTTAGGGTATTCAACAGTGTCAGGTAAAAATGAACTGTAGTAAAAGTTAGTAGGACAACAGTTTGCAGCTAATCTTGATTCTTGCTTACATGAGAATTTTTTTTATGAATAAAACTGTAATGATTGTTTCATCATTAGAACAGACACGGTGGTGTTCGCATTATGGCTCTTTATTTCTGATAGTTCATGTAAAAAACCCTGAAACAGTTAAAACATTCTTAAGACTAAACATAAACATATGCTGATAGATAATATCAATCATCAATATCTTTAAATATAACCATTTACAAAATATCATTATTGCTAATCTATTCCATATACATTGTCTCAATATTTCATTGATGACACATTCCATTTATACTTTAATTCATACATAGATAGGCATATACATATCATATAGGGAAACAAGCATTTCTTATCATGTAGACATTACACAATATATAAAATATAATAAACCCACAAGTGTGTGGACCTGGGTATAGTCAGTACACACCGACAGCTTCACGAGCAATACACCTACATCTGCACGAATAAATGAAACAAATATACACACTGTGCAGACTAATCAAATGACAGCAATAACAATACAACAAATACGTTTAGTTATTGTTGATTAATGAGAAACATTTAAAATATATATAATGGTAAATCCCTGGTTCATTCTTACATTCACACATTATACATTCATACATTTACACATTATACAATCATACATTTACACATCATACATTTATGCATTATACATTCATACATTTACACATCCATACGACAGCTGTATAGTACTTAAAGATTAAGTTTAACACTGATAAATAGCTTACTGAATTTATCGAATTATTTACCGTTTGTAAATAATTAGACTTATAATGCATTACATTCTGCAACACAACTAGTTATCACAAACTACTCAATATTTACAATATGACAAAGCAGCCAAATTATCAACGCATAAACACAATATGCGTATACATCCAATGAGTATGTACAAACTACAAAAAGTATGGAAATAGACTAACCTTCAGAAATGATCTCAAGAGCTCCTATAAATGTCCAAATAAGTCAAAATGTGTGAGCTTCAAAATCCACAAATGCCTTGTGACCAGTTGACAGTTGAAACGTTCTGAACTGATAATAAACTTTAAACCTTAAAACAGGGGACAGTAAGCTAACAAGGTTTATGACAAAGGGACAGTAAGTGGCGCGCTTGGGCAGGCTATTGTGTTGCAGTGCTTTAGGTGAATGTGGCTGAGGCAGAAAACTCATGCAGTAAGCTGAGAGAGGGGTTAAGAGAAGCTGAAGAGTGAAGTATATAATGTTTAAAATACACTAAACTGAATATTTAATTCAGTTAAAACTAACGAATAAAAACACTAAATATATACAAACATTTCATCCTGTCACAGTTGTTAGGTGGTAAACCATTATACAGAAGAGTACAAATTTAGATTTCACTTTTGCTGCTTTGCAGACCAGTAAGACATCACAGGGCTCGATTTAGTGCTTTGTTACTTGCACTGGTACAACCCAATATTACAAAGTGCAGTTATTAGTTGAACTTGCACCAGGTGCAACTCAATTTCAGAATAAAACATCTAAATAATTCAATAGCATATTTTTTACATTACATTATGCAATAAAAGCAGTGCAGCTGGAATTTGGCTGGTGCAACTAGGTTTTTATCTTAGGTTGCACCTGGTGCAAGTAGGTGAACATCTCTTAAATCAAGCCCTGCACCATAGTGACCAATGATGTAACACATACATTACATCCCTGATCTCCCTGCCAGTAATCAGTTACATGTTTTACTCCCATGGCATTTGTTTTCAAATACAAAGTGATATATTGGGATTACACTTTCTCACTAAACTACAGATTCCTGTACGTTTTCAAGTTGAGTACAATCTGAGTATCGCGCCCACAATCTCAGGCTGAGGCACCTAATCGTCAGCACACAAACTTAACAATGTAACTGGTACTGTAGATCACATACACAACCAAAAAATGCACTAGAATTTGTACTGTAGTTTGGTTTTACACCGCTTTTAGCAATATTCCCGCAATATCATGGCAAGGGACACCAGAAATGAGCTTCACCCATTGTACCCATGTTGGGAAAAGGCATTGTGTATTCTTAAGTTATTATAGTTTACAAACTGAAAACAAATGCTTTTTGATGATAAGTACACGCATGAGCATAAATCAAGCACCATCCATCTTCTTTTACATGATAAGTACAAAAACACAAGACGTTGTATAAGCCTTGAAATACCAAATTCCATACATTAAAATAACACCTGTAAAAAAAAAATCTACAATTAAAATTTGATAACAATCTACATGCAAATCCAAGAGGAATACACAAAAAATAGAATATTAACAATGCCAGAAAGTATGATCATCATGACAATACCACCAATGTGATTGTCACACAGTTCTCAAAAAAAAAAGATTAAATTATATACCGGTACACATACAGTACCATATAGGTATTTGGCATGTGTGTCACATTTAGGACGTTTGAGAACAGTTATTTTGCATGTTGAAACAAACCTTCCTCAGTTTGGCCACTTTCCTCTTGTAGCCGCTCCCACTGACAATGTCAGCCTCCGAGACATAGATGACGCCAGTGTGAGAGGAAGGGTGGAAATCAACTACTCCAAGACCATCATCAAAGTGAACATTTGCAGTACCTGAAGCAGAGACATCTCATATCAATACAGAGTAGGCCTACCCACGCTCCATTTCCATCTGCACTTCTGACAGTGACAGGAAGGCAATGTTGGGATATACTCAAACCTTGAATCCACACAGAATTGTAAAGTGACAATAATTTTGTTCTGACCTTGGAGTGTGTTTACTAAGTCTGTGTTCCTCCAGCGTCCGCTGACAAGAATATGGCCCAAGGGAACACGTATTTCAGACAATCCCTGAACAATAGCTTGTGTGCACTGAGACAAATCCATGCCATTAATCTGAAAAAAAGTAATATGACATTAAGTGCAATTTACTTAAAGAACCACTAAACTTTGTTTTTTGTTACTCTTTTAACCATTACATATGAAAGATTTGTGGTTAGTCTTATGCGGAACACCAAATTTATTCTTTAAAAACTTGTGGTTAATTAATACCGAGCGATTAAAAGTGGCTAAAAAGTCGCCTGCTTCCCTCTCGCCCACCAACGAAACCACAGACAGGTTACGTAACTCTGTCGCCAGAGCACTGCAGTGACGTCATATGAGGAACGATTTTCAGTTAGTTGTATAGAAAATGTGTAGCACGCTCATCATTTTGATGATTTCTCGACATCAACGACGGCGACGTCGAATCGCTGCTTTGTCGTCAATTGCTCCTAGGGTCGGGCGATGGTGTCCCCATGCACAGATTTCCACAGGACCCCGCAGTTCGTGCTAAATGGGTTATGAGTGCGGCGAAGCGTTGTGGAAGCCTGAAACGATATCTTACTTGTGTTCAGATCGCTTCACGGAAGTTAAAGAATCAAAACTACTTACTAGTTGTAGTAAAATATGCATATGATTGATGACCATAAAGATTTTCTATGACACAACTTGTAACATAACGATTTCTTCCTCGAAGTGAGGTTGTGGTCGGCAACAATAATATTGTAAGTAGTATTATATTGACACCCACCTCGCTGCCACGAGAGAAATTGTTATGATATACGCTATGTCATGCAAAATCCTATTGGCCATCAATAAAATACATAATTATTACTAGTAGAAAGTAGTTTTGATTTTGTAACTCGGTGAAAACAAACCTAAATACCGCTTATCCTCAGACTGGCGGATGTTCCCGACAGGGCTTCATTTTAAAAATAAAAAATCTGTTAGAATTAATGAGATTATAGTTTGTTTTCATCAAGTTAGAAAATCAAGACTACTTTCTACTCGTTGTTAAATATGTATTGGAATCATAACCAAACGGATTTTGCATGACACAACTTATAACATAACGATTTCTTCCACGGAAGCAAGGTGGGGGTCGAAGTCACAATACTGCTGCGCTGATAAATTTCTTGCTACATTCCCATGGTTAATGTCCACTCACCAGTATGTAGATACTAGTCAATGTGCGTCTTTATATTTGGTCTTATAATCCTAATTAGTTTATTATCACACTTGTATGCATTTTGAAACTAAATAAAAGCAGACGATCTGCTGATACTTATAGTGAATTTATAACAGAACTGTAATATCTAGACATTTTATAGTTTGCCAATGTGAATCATAATTCGCACACACACCTAGTGCATGTTGTCTGTCTCATTACACTTCACGGCAAAAACAATGATTCTGTTGAATGCTACGACAAATGAATAAAACAAAATGCAAATATTAAAATTAAAACAGATTAAAGTTATAGGAACAATATCAGGCCATTACCTTGTTCGAGGAATGTATCCATCAATATCCACAAAACTGTTCCAAATGATGTGTCTTTTAACAGTTTAATATACGAAAAAGTGATAAATCTTTTCAGGTATTGGTGTATAGTCTCATTGGTCACCCAAGATAGCACACCTGGCAACTAATTGCATAATGTCCGCCTTTCTTTAAAAACAGTAATTTAGTTAGCCAATAATGGGCAATCAATCAATGTATTGCCGGTTAATCCTTTGAAAGAAGGACGTTGTTTTACGCAGACACCGACACGACAGAGTGTATTCAGTATAGATTAGTAAATCTACATACATAAACACTACCTTTTGACAATTCCGCTGTGTAAGATAAAAGTAATTAATCAATCAGCGTGTTATCGGTTAATCCTTTGATCGATGTTTATAATGTTGAATATTTACTCCAGACACAAGAAATGCCAAATGGGAACCTTTGTCGGTAATCTAAGTGTGTTACCACTAATTATACCTGTTATAAATTCATTAACTGACCATCAAGTGAATGATGACAAATAACATGTGTAGGTTTATACCACCTAACACGGGTTACAACGAGGGAGTATTAATTGCTGTATTGCATGTGAAAACTTATGGGCCGACAATGTTTTGAGAATACAAACAGATTTTTACATGACATGATTAAATATCAAGGTAAAACAACACAGAAATGGGATCAATTTGGATCAGTCATTATACAAATAGGGCCTAACGACACCAATCGATTTTGACAGAATCGCCTATGAAAACAAGTTGTAACTCGAAACTAGGCAAAGCAGGAGACAAAATTAAATGACAGTAGATTGTGAGAACATATAGCTTTCATTTTCCACAACAATTGTCACGATTTCAGGTTTATACAAGCCTGTAAACACGTTAATTTACCCCCTAAAATGTAGATGAATTCTGCATCGGCCCTCAAAGCTATTCCTCATATGACGTCACAGAGGCGCGCCGCTCTGATTGGTTGAAATTTCGTTCGCGGGTGAGAATTGTGCACTGTTGTCAAAAAGGTCGATTAAGTCAATTAAAGGTCGAAATGAGTAGTTTTAATGACGGGGTTTTATTTATAACGATGCCAGTTAGTGATTTATGTATTTGTACCCCCTAGGGTTTATGTGACCTTTAATGTAGCAAATATTAGAAATGTCAAAAGGAATACTCTTGAAAGTAGACCATTGATAGTCTGGAAGGGCCCGATTACATGGAGACAGGATCTTTTTCAACGTTTTCAAAATAAAACCGTAAGCCTAAAGATTATTTTAAAAATTTTATGCAACAATTTATTTTTGTGGTAGAGAATTTGTTTGGTTTTTTTATTTGAAAGAGTTCTTTCCGTTCCCCCATATTCTTTCTAACCCATTTTAACACAGCTAACGCTAAGTGGTTCGACCCTGTATATTGTAACCTTGTGTAATCAATATTCACGCACCTAACACATTTCGCGCAGTATGCGGAATTAACAAGGCACGTGAAAATCAACAATTTGGGGGCTTTTAGCTATTGTTGTGAGTTCTTTGGTAATTGTTGTGGTAGGTTTTGTTAATACCTCTAGTATATATTAATTTATAAATATTATTTGGGATGGGGGAACAGGAGGAACTCTTACCTTTTAATTTTACATTCTAAGATACCTAGCGGTTAGAACAATAAAAAAAAAAATACATTATCAGACAATAAAGGTATAGTTTTTGGATGACATAACAATTGAATGACGTTGTCCCCCTCACTGCGCCATTCTATTGTGCCCGACCGCCTCCGTGGTGTGGTGGTTAGAGCGTCTGCCTGGAGAGCGGAAGATAGAGGGTTCGATCCCCGACCGTGTCATACCAAAAGACGTTAAAATATGGTACTTATTGGTCCCTGCCTGGCGCTCAGCATTAATGGGTACAACAAGGACTGGTCGGCTCGGAGTCAGTATACTGTGTCTGAGTGGGGTAGTCATGCTTCACTGCAGCATGGTATCTCAGTGAGCTAGCACTATAAAACCAGCTTAAGTCTGGGCTAGTACAAGCAGCCGCACATACACACGCATGCACGTCGTCATATGAGTGAAATATTCTCAAGCATGACGTTAAACCCAATTTCACCTCACCTCACCTCTAGTGTGCCCCCTCCTAATTGAACCATTTTGCATTACGTCACAATGTAAGCGACGTCACGATGCATGTCAGTTGTCATCGGCTCGTACGTCCTTCTACAGTAAACTACTCCGTTGCATCCCGTTTCTTGGTTTGCAGTTGCTTCACGCAGTTAACATCAATGGGGGAAACATTATGTTTATGTTTTACGACGGTTAAAATGTGTCAATTCGACAGCAACATGGTAACGTTCGCAATGGTTACATTCCCACAATGCAATCATGGAATGTCGCTTGACTACTCAGCTGCATCTGGATGTACTGATCTAAACTTGCGTTGGTAGTAGAAATGCGACGTTCATATTGCCCCATATGGTTTACGTTTCCGAACGTAAACCGTCATCAAACTCTTATCATTTGTTTTTTTCTGGTAACGTTCGTCTTAAAGTAGGGGGGCAGTGCGCTAGTTAGCCCTGTGCGAGGATTCTTAATTTAGGTCACTGACACCATCGTTTGTTTTCTGCCTTAAATTAATCGTAATTATCCTTAGAAAGTATTAAATTTGGCATCTTAGAAAAGAAATACAGTTCGCTCTACCACCATGTATAGTGTAATAAAGCACACTTTCGCCCTGAACTATTACGTTAAAGCACTCGGACGCACTCCAATGACATGATGTCAGTAAATATGTACAATCAAAGACATATACATAACCACTGAAAAAATCATACTTACTGTAAAATATGGTCTACTTTACGTACGTATACGAGACACAACCGGTCACCCGTCGGCCGTCGCTGTCACGAACGTGACGAAGACGAAATGTCCCCGACTCACACATACGAGCGCATGATTGCAACGGAATACTTATAAATTAAACATGGACGTGGCCTATTTCACTTACCTAATTTCTCTAAACGCGGGTCACTCAAAATTGGTGACACAGCCTCTTTTTGGGTTAAACATGAAAGGGTAACTCAGCGGTAGTTGCTTTTCGCAAAAACCGCCATGAACGTCAAAGGGAGGCAACAAGACAAACCTTTGGAAACCACTAAAAATTATTTTCAGTGCGATTTGATCCATTCTGCTGACAGATTTTCATTTCTGTATTTGCATTATAGAGTACATGTGTATCTTGCCTGTATATTTACAGAATCATATCTCTTTAATATGTGTTCCTTTATGTGTTCCTCAGCTGTCTAACGTGAGAGCGTAAATTGAATTCGCTTTTATTATATTTACTTGAAAATTTTACAAGCTGGCGGTAGGTATCCAATGTCTTGAGATTATACTCGGTGAAGTCAGCATTTTGTTAAAGGTCACATGCAACGTAAAACACAACTTTGCAGATTCTGATACCTTTCGGTATGGACTTACCGAAACAAATCGTCAAAAATTTTGTTTATATGTTTTTTCATAACCAGCAATGTTTATTATATGTCACGAATAAGTGATAATTGTGTTTTAATTATGTTTGATTTTTTGGTTGCATGTGACCTTTAAATACATCAGGTTTAACATCCTGGAGAAGAAATGATAGTAAATAAGTGACTGGCTTAATTAGTATTTAACGTCTCACTTAAAGGAGAATCCGAACGAAAACAAAATGTTTCATATGTAGCGGCCATAAAATGTCCAAACCCCCGTGCTGGGATTCGAACCATGGACTTTCTGATCAGAAATCGGACGCCTTGTCCACATGACCAAAGAGGTTAACACCGTCAGCAAGCTGGCAAGGTAAGGATGTCATCTGTGGGATGACTCCACGCCCTGCTACAAACTTCCCCATCACCAGAAGGCACGTCCCGAGCCGCATAGTTGGGTACTGAGACTTATTTTGCTCAAATTTCATATACGTTGGGCGCCAATCTAGTGGCCATAAAATTTCCGAGTCCCGTGCTGGGATTCGAACCCCGGACCTTCTAATCAGAAGTCAGACGCCTTGTCCACATGACCAAAGAGGTTAACCCCGTCAGCAATTGCAAGCTGACAAGGTATTTAGGATGTCATCTGTGGGATGACTCCACGCCCTGCTACACATATATTGTAAAGTCACCTTTTAAAATCAAAATTGAACAAAAAGTTTGTAAAATAGCAATAAAAACACAAAAAACGTACTCGTATTTCCGCCTTTTACGGAAAAAACCGACAGTTAATGAGCAGTGGGGTATCACGTGACATGACGTCATAAGTGCCCGTTGCTGATGACTGCCTCTTTGATTTTACCTCACAACTTAACAGTGTCCATGGATTCTGAAGCAGTAAAAGATGTTCCTGATGTCATTTCTGAAATGGATGTTAGACCGTATCAATACGATCCGATTTTACATCTTGCGAGACAATCTTCCAGTGAAAATGAAAAAGAAGAATCAAGCAAAAAGGGAGGCACCGCTAGAGTTTAAAATAAATTTAAACATATGCCATATCATTTAACAAGAATACTATTTGACAGCAAAATGTGATAAAGCTCCAACCAGCAAACCCACCCCTATAAGTATATGAGCAGTCCCTAAGAATTATAATTTTTGCACTGTGATTGCAGTTCCTTTTGTGTCAAATGGGTGATTTATGCCCTGAGTGGCCACCCATGCAGTGAACCGTGCATTTTCACACCTCGTAATTGGTCTCAACTCAGTTGTTCCTGAGTGACCACCGCTCTTAATTGACTCTTGGCATTTGTCCCCGAGTGACCACTCATGCCTTGTTAGCTCATACAAATGAAGACAAAAAGAGATTTAGTAACGATGCATTTATTTACATTAATTTACAGTTATTTACAACATATGATCATGATATCATTTTCAGTCCCTTTCACATTTCAGATAACTATTTACAATACTTAATCACCAATGGTCACTGGCAAGACACCATCACATGCAGATAAATAAGATCTCATGTCCCTTCCACACATTACATATTCCAGTCCAAGATTGTACAGCCTCATGTTGTCCTCCTCTACACGTGGACGTTTTGCTGGTCGCTGTCCACCCAAAAGCTGAAGTAGAAATGCTTCCTTATTCAAGCGTTCTTCCTTAAACAACAGTACAATTTCATATACATTCAGATGAGACTTCATAGCCCCCTTTCATAGACGACTATTGTAGCCTTCACAATTGTTGTTTGTTCGTGGCAACGGAACGGAACTGATTCCACACTGATGGGGGGAACTGTCCAATGATCCATGTATTCAAGAAGTACTTGTTGAATTCTTCACACTTGGGAACATCTGGGGCATGCGTAAGAACAAGCTCATAACCAGCCATGACTTGAGGAACAGGCAAAAAGGCGATTCCAAAGAGCATTCGAAACAACTGCCTGACTTCACTGACATTCTTGTACGAAGAAGAAAGTCCAAGTTCTTGTAGCTTACGCAATAAGGACTGTCCAAAGTGAAACAAGCACGCCTTGAGGTTGGTGGAAGGAAGGAGTGAACGCACAACGTTATGAAGAGCCATTTCAAAATCCACAATGATATTTACAGGGGCAAATGATAGATTTAGTTCCTCACACTTAATCTTTATAAGAGAAAGAAGTCTATGGTAAATAATTCCCCTTTTATCAGGCAATAGGCAAAACAGTTCAGGCAAAGAACCATGAGGAGGGTGACTACGGATGATGTACAACTAATAAAATAATCGTGGGCAAATTTTGAAAGTTCCATCCAGAGAAACGGTTTCACTGGCACGAAGTCGCTGAAGACTTTACCGGTAAATCACTTGACACAGTAGTTGTTTAATCACTAATAAACAAAACATCCATGTTCTTTCTCCCTCTCTCACTATTGCCAGTAAATCAACACAACAACACCCTTCTCCTGATACAGTAGTTAATCACTTGACACAGTAGTTACTTAAATCAACACAACAGCCTTGTTCTGGTAGAGTGACTTGATTGCTAATCTAACTTTGTCCCTGGGTTGGATTACTCCGTTTGTCAGACAGTGGGTATGTATTATTAGGCAATACTGCCGCTTTAACAAAATGCATTGTAGAGTAAATAAATGTTTTTATATGGTCGGATGAGTGCGCGGGTGGACGTGTAAAAAATTGGAACTACCGTGTGAAAGCCAAACTTAAAGAATGGGGCCTGAATATGGAAGAGGGCGTGAGTGTCAAGAATGTATGTGAGCGGGTACAGATTACTTGTACGGGAAAGTATATGTCTGAGTGGTATGAAGCATTGTATAAACAAGAAGACAGAGTGGGTAGCAATAAGTTGCGGAAGGGTCTACTCCCATTTGTGAGAACTCCCAGTTGTGAGACTTCCAATTGTGAGACAGTGGAGTAGGTAAGTAGCAAAGAAAACACACCTTACTCCCCTATCTGATAAAATGGATTAACCCCAGCTAATTATGGATTAGCTATTTAACTGAATCTTGTGGAGGTAGCTTAAAAGATAAAGTAATTAACCTACTCAGGTAAATGGCTTTAAAAAATAAACACTTTGTGTAGGTAACTTCGTGATCATTTGAAAGAGAAAATAATTTACCTGCTTGAAAAATCTAGCAATAACTGTATTCCAAATGTATTTATTAACCTGTGACTGCTCTTTCCAATCATCATTATGGTAGGCCTTCAACAAGTAGAATACATCACCAGTTCACGAGGCAGTTTTCAGGTGCTCTTTCAGGGTTACCTGTATTACAAGAACAAGCAGCGGCAGACTTGTACCTATTGGAGATGTTCAAAACCAACGTGCAACGGCAAATGCACTACAGTCGGCGACTATGTTCGGAATGTGACTGATCAAGACACACAAACATCATAATAACGCAAATCATCAAACTGTGTGAATCAAAAATCATAATGACATATGTAATGAACTATTTCTTCTGTGTAAATATACTGAGTCAAAAAAGAAACTTCATAAAATGTAATTTGAAAAATAATGAATAAGTTTTGTCTGATGATACATCTATGTATCTGAAATGGGATCCCTATCTTTCGACTCTAGAAACACCGTTAGCAACCACCCCCCACCCACCCCAAACCCATCCATTCGTTGTGCAAATGACGTTAGTGCCAAATCAGGTTTTGCACGTGCAGTCGATCACGTGATCTTCGCATCGAAGTTGTCTTCATATGCACATGTTTGCATTGGCCTCAAGAATTGAAAAAGCACTTTTAAACCACAGTTCTAACGGTACTTGAAATGCCACGATTGTCAAATGTGCAACGTGAACGTGCCGTTGGCATGTTGCAAGCGGGAAGATCAGTTATTGACGTCGCAAGAGCAATGGGATGCAGCCGTCGTACTGTGTATGACCCTCGAGGTCGTCTACAACAAACTGGCACCACTTCTGATCGCCCAAGGTCGGGTCGTCCACGTGTGACGTCACGAGCAGAAGACCGTCAAATCGTCGACGTGACAGATTTCTGCCGGCTACACGAACCAGGGCTGAGATGTTTAGAAGTCGACTGTCCTCACAGACCATTCGAAATCGGTTGCGGGTTGCCAATCTCCATTCTCGACGTCCATATCGTGGGCCAATATTGACCCCGTTTCATCAACGTCAACGTCTGCTGTGGGCCCAACGTCACCTCCGATGGACCCAGAGAGACTGGAATCGAGTCGTCTTTAGCGATGAATCCAGGTTTACCCTCAGATTCGCGGACGGCAGGCATAGAGTCTGGAGACGACGTCGTGAACGGTATGCCAAATGTTGTGTACAGGAAGTCGACAGATTCGGGGGCGGAAGTTGCATGGTGTGGGGTGCTTTCTGTGGGAACAACCGTTCCCGACTTCTGGTCATCCGTGAAAACCTCACAGCTGCTGCTTACCGCGACCAGGTGCTCACCCCTGAACTCATTCCTTTCATGGCGGCTCATGGCCCAGGTCTACAGTTCCAGCATGATAATGCTCGGCCGCATACCGCGATGTTGACACGAAAGTTCCTTCAAAACTGATTATGGCACTGTTAGTGTATCGAGTACATCACACAGATCTCAGCAATGAAATAATAACAATTTCACCATCTAACCATCTCTTGTTCTTTCATAGTGTCCTGAAGAGAGAATGTGAAGTTTC